GAGGATGCTGACCAGCTTGATTAGTACTGTGGGAGCAGGACAAGGTGCAAAGAACGGCTCCACCACATAGCGGCCAAAAGCCAGTGATACATAACAAGCTGAAGCCGGCCTGCAGATGGAAAATATCTTTATGTTCTGTGATATGACTTTAAGTCAATTTTGTTTTTATGGTGCCCAAAACTAAACTAACCTGCCAAATAAGAACTCCACCCAAAGTTGTAAGAAGGCAGGCAGTGGCCCCAGTGTCTCCAGTAGATAAGTGTAGTGGCCCCCTGATTTTGTAAAACTGGTGCCCAGTTCAGCATAGCACAAAGCCCCTATTGGACCAGACAAATATGTAAGTCTACAGGAAAATAAGTACATATGAAATTGCATTAACAGAGTTTCAAGTGTTGACATAAAAAATAGTATCATTAATATCACACCCACAGTGATTAAATTAAACCACTTACATTGGTCTAGCTCATCAATATTTTGAGGAAAAAATGTTGTTTAATGTTGAATGAATGTGGCATATGTTAACTGAATTACTACACACTTTGTAGTAGTTAATGAGTTGATGAATTAATGCACCTATAAACAACTTATAAGATGTTTCAACTAACAAATGCATAATGAATAACAATCTAACATAGAGTTACATGTTTTTACAGTAACTGATCACAAATAAATTATACAATGAAGCCACCTACCAAACATTGAAAGGACTCCACTCAGCACCCACACGAGCAGAGAGAGCCCCACACTGCCACTGTTCATCAGGACTCCCTTGGGTGCGATAAAGATCCCACTGCCCACCACTGTACCAATGATGAAGGACACAGCAGGCAGCAAGCCGATCTTTCTCCTGAGGTGCACCATCTCCTCCTGTGTCTTCTTCTTCCTGTCATCCACCTCTTTCTTCATTTGTGTCCCATCCATTCCTCTGTGGCTGTAGGTTTCACTTCAATCTTTCAAGCTAAACAAACATCAAATGAGTCTCCTTTACTCTTCGGTTTTTTAAAGTTTGCATCTACTTCGAATTTTAGGTCTGTAGATGAAAGTCTTACCTCTTTCCTGATGTTGCTCAACAACACAATAGCAGAATCATTTCCAGTGTTGATACAGTCAACAGTCTTCTTTAAGCTACCTTTGAGCCCTTATAGACACAAATTAACAAACTGACTGTGCAAGAAGCCTGGGTAGGAGGAGACAGCACTGGCCAAACACATTGGCCCCTTTCCCTGCAATTTATCCTGCATTTTTCTCTCCTCAATGGTTATTACCCCACCCGCCCAGCCTGAGTAGGGAATATAGTTAGTACTCATCCATGGTTTAGCAATTTAACATTGCATTTTAAGGCCTCAAGACATTCCTGCATTGTACTGTTTGTACATGTCGCCTTAGACAAACATGGCTCAGTGAGAAAAGGGTGAGGGGTTTGTAGAAGCAGTTGCACCAATTGCAGGAAGACTTGTTTCAACAACAGCAGTCGTTTTGTGGAAAATGTATTCATTTTATTTGATTTAGTTCATTGTTTGCTTAACTTCATTATTTTTGCATAATATTGTTTGTACAGACTGAGATGAGAAAGCTGACTGTGAAGTGATCCTGGTAGTCATAAAGTAGACAAGAGAGAGAGAAAAGCTAATCAGCTGCTTGTAGAGCTGTCCGGACTGAGCAATGATGATAGCCTTGATGACTTAGGCAGCATCCAGGGGTGGGAGTGAGGTTCCCAGGGGCACAGCCCTTAGCTGTGTAATTATGTAAAGATGTTTTTTTCTCTTTTATGAAGTGTATGAAATAAGGGATGTCAGTCTTGTAACCTAGTCTTGAACCTGAAGGAGTCAGCATAACTTGCATTTTTCATTCGAGTTCATTTTTAAGTTTTTAGACACATATTTTGACCAGTGAAACAATAGTATATCCCTAAGTAGGTCAGAGTAAAAAGTAGGATGAAGCAAGCACCGGGTAAGGAAGAGCAATAGAGGGATTAAAAAGGAAGGACCTGAGCCTTGTATTAGTTCCTCTCCATAGATGCTGTCAGGGACCAAGCAGTAAGGCAAAAGACACAGCTTCCAAAGTTCAAAATAAAGGGCTTTTTATTAACCCAAAAGTAAGAAAAATACAAAATTAACATCAGATAAATTGGGCCCTAAAAGAGGTCAACAAAAGATAAGGAAACTCAAAATACAGCAAACTGAACTGTCTAATACCTCAACAAAACCAACTGACCTAGCAAATGACACACACACACAGGGGAACATATATACTGGCTGGCCAAACCAATAACACACACAAGGGATAAACTAAAGACACTACCAAAATAATCAACTAATAAACCCTAAACAGACATTCTGCTCTCAACTAAATATTTCCTTTAAATGTAAAGAAATTAACATAACTTGACAAATAAAGTTCTAACATAAACTACCAACAAATAAACAATACATTTCTCCCAAACTCCCCCCTTTCTTATATTGACCACTTGGTGCAGTCCAGGCCTGGATCAATGTCATTAAAGGAGCTGTGACAGCTGCATAGTTAGAAATCCAGCTCCTTCAAAAATTTATCATGCCTAAGAATAACATCATTTGTCTTTTTGTTTGGGTGCTTGTAAGATAGCAGTTTTTCTGGCCTCATCTAGATGCTTCCCCTCCTGTGAGAGGTTGTACAAAGAGTGTGCATGAAAGATGCCAAGTTAGTCAGCTGTAGGCAGCTCTCGGTGCAGTTTCTCATAACAAGGGTCTGGACTTGGGGAATGTTTAAAGTACAGTCACATAAGAATTCAATGTCTCCCCACTTATTTTTAGAGGAGGTTGTGTTAAAAACAAACAAACAAATGAAATAAATTAAAACATAACACAAAACATAGCATTATAACACCTGGTAATTTTAGTATATCATTTTACTCGCGCAGCTCCTTTGTGTGCGTATATTTGTGGACCTCTGACCTGTCTGCTCCTGATCACAGTCCAGTCCTGTTTTCCATCATCTGCCTCCCTGTTGTGCCTACTCCCATGTGCCCACTGACCAGCTTACTGCACATGTAACATTGTTGGTTGTCAGGTCAGCTCCAGTTTCCCGTTCCTTTGCCTCTACCTCTGCCCCTGTGTGCTCCTCCTCCCATGCAGCCACCGCCAGGACACTGTTCCCTCTGGAAATAAACAGCAAAGAATTCTCCTCTCTAGGAGTTATTAACACAAATGCAGTAGATTTCTTTCTGCCTTATTTCTGTTTTCTTAAAATGGCTTTCTGCATATTTGGCGAGTTCTAAAGTATCACTAAGTGATCGAGTGATGATTTACTCGATGTATTTATATCACACATTCATGAGGTTAGTACAATATACAGCTGCACAACAGTTTTGTTGTAATGATTTAGGGCAGGCAAGGACCCATACGGGGATTTCCCTTGCCTTGCCAGGTGGAGCGGAGGGTCCTGGACTGTCTCTTGATGGTTGGACTGGTTTGGCAGGAGCTTCGGGTCTGGGTCTCGCATAAAAATCCCTTTTCCTATTTGTCCCTAAGGAATACTTTTTCATGTTTGGTTTTAGCTCACAGCTTGCTCCTACACGTCCTCTCTTGTCCCATCACAGGGTTTTTATTGTTAGCTGGCTTTGTCTTTCCCTCATGAAATGCCGTTCATACTCTGTGTCTGACCCTGATGTGTACTTATAGTACATTGTGCAGTGCAGATCATTTGCGTTCATGAAATCAGATTGTGGTGCAGCTTTTTGTTTAGCTTTTTCTATGAGGGATGTTGTGACAGATGCTGGTCCGGTGGTGACCAGATCTAAGCTGTACCAGTAACGTGGTTCCCCATAGCCTTCCATTATTGCTATTTCTTGTAGTCTCTGTGCTCTGAGCCCATCATCACGGCTATGATGGCTATGTTTAGCGCTGCTAGTAGGTCTCTCCCTTCCCCCCTGGTTTTAACAGTCTGCCCCTGCTTCTGTTATCTGTCATTACAAACACTGTTCCTTCTTCTAGAGAAAATGTTTGTACTCTTTTCTGTTGTTATTTTGTTTTAAAATGTTGCTCAGCATGTCTGGCATAATCTAGTGTGTTTGTGAGGCGAGCAGTGCGATGATCGATCATGTGTTTTGTAATGAAACTGCTGATCTGGGGCAGACAGCTTTTGCGGAAAGCATTTTTCAGTTGCTGTTCATATGGACTGTCATTATCTGCATTTGGTGGAGGTGGCATGCCACTGTGATTAACATACACTTCTTTTAGTCTTGCATAATAATGATCTACATCCTCATCATCTTTTTGTATGCATAGGTTAATTTCTATCCAATTTGCTTGTGCTCGATGCCAACTATTTCCCATTTTGCACTAATTTCACAATTATTTTGATATTGTCCATTGATGAACACTGTGCCTTGCCAGTGATGTGCATTGATTGGTTTAATATTCCTCATCTTATGATTTCAGATCGTCTGCAATGCTGACTGTGTGATCAGCAATGTTGTGGCAAAATGGCCGTGCTCAGTCCATGACTCCAGAATCTTTCGGGCCTCTGAAATCTATCGGCGCCTATCACAAGATGAGCCACACAACCCCTATTAACCACGTTTTACATCATGGCTGTGTCAATAATATCACTGTGTTTATGAGGTAGTAATGATGAGATTTTGTGTTGACAGGTGAATTCTCTGGTGTGTTGCTGGGAGACAGGGGGTATGGCTGCCAGTCCTTTCTCCTAACACCTTTCACAGACCCCCAGGAAGCACAGCAGGCCTACAACCATGCCCATGCCTGGACCAGGGCCAGAGTTGAAATGACCTTTGGCCTCCTGAAGGCACAACATCATCTAAAAAGCATCATTTATCCAAAATGATTGAAATTAATGATCACAAACGTTTAAACAATGACAGTGGGTCTAATTATATGTGATAACAATGTATAGTGTGCAGTGAAATAACTATTGGTTTCCGTTTGTGGTGACTGCTGACTGACATAAGGGATGAGATAAAATAAATCCTGGAACTTAGCCTGGTCTGGAGCAGGCTAGCTCCACAGAATAAATCTCCATGGTAATTTATACCATAACATCCTACCGCAATCTAATCCAGCTTTAGTGCAACCGGATCACGGATAAGTTGAGCCAGGATCACCAAGATATCCCGGCTTAATCCCTTATGCTAGTTTTGTGCAATGGGCCCCAGAGCTCTGCACCAGGACACACAAACAAACAAACTACACTTAAGAGAGGAACAATACAAAAACAATTTCAGGGTACTGGCTTCATGGCAGAAAATATGCATTAAATGGGGGTTTCATTGGCCGTCAAAACCAGAATACACATCACATTCAAAATGAAATTTGCTGTGGTGATAGACATTGCCACCCTACATATGCATGTCAAATTTCAAATTGTTTCAATAATGTTTGACAGAGATATGAATTTTTTAAAATGTTGCTTCATGTTATAGATGGGGATTTTTGTGATTTGTCTGTTAATCTTTTGTGACCTTTAACCTTTTCCAGCCAAAATCTAATCACTTCTAGGGTTGGTTCCTACCGATGTCTGTACCAAGTATGCTAATGATCCATCCAGCTGTTCATCATCAATATCACAATAAATAAATAATAAAATCTGTAATATTATTTTACTATTTTTTCATCATCTTTCACTGACAATGGCGAGAGGCGGGGTACACCCTGGACAGGTCGCCAGTCTATCACAAGACTGAAACTTACACACAGACAAGCACACGTCATGGTCTGTGGAAGGAAGCCAGAGTACTGAACGTGTTAACGCCAAACAGAAAGGCTGCTAGTCCAGCCAAGGCTCAAACCTGGAACCTTCTTACTGTGAGGCAATAGCACTAACATCTGCACTACTATGCTGCCCACCAGTTACATATTGTAACTTTAATGCACCTTTAAATTACAATGAATCCTCATTTGCCTGTGAAGTATGTACCCTCATGTTATCAAACTTAAATGAACACCTAAATAGAATGCAGAAATCTCCTGGGACCCTCCTTTGTAGCTCATGCAGATCATGGTCAGGGCATATTCCCTTTGTATTCTTCTTCATGTGAGATGAGCGATTTTAAACACTCCACATACAGAGACTAAAACCAACAATCATTTGCCTCTATTCAGGATTATTGTCTGCCAGTCTGTCAGAACTGGATTAGCTTGTCCGTCTATGCTACAAACCTTCACTGTCATTCAAAAACAATTAAATGGCCACAGTTTAGAAAGAATTGGAAATTAAAGTTAACAACCACTGAGGATTTGTTTCAGATTTTATACAGCTTGAATATTTGCTCTTTGCTCCTACAGGTACTTAAATGTTAAAACCCAGGTAAAGTGTAACAGTTAAATGATAAGGCCAGACATTTCCTATAATAACTTAAACCAACAATGATTTCCCTCTACTCATGATTACTGTCTGTCAGTCTGTCAGAACTGGATTAGCTTGTCCGTCTTTGCCAAGGACGTTCACTGTCATTCAAAAACAATTAAAAACACACATTGGTGAACCATACCACTACACTGGGTGACATGTTTCCTCATTAGAAAACACCAGATATTAACACCAGATATTTTTTCAAAATGTTGCCCCAAAGATTCCAAATGCCACAACTTGTTACAGCAGTAACATGTTGATGTAAACAAGAGTCAAGGGCTCATACACCAGATGTCTAAAATATTAGGATCTTGTGTTTCATACTTTGTCACCCTGTGCAGTGGTGTGCTTCCCTAATGTGTTTTCAGTTGTTTTTTGAACATCAATAGAGAGCTTTATCACAGACAAATAAGTATATATTCTATTTTGTATGGGCTTCGCCTATTGGATTTTTCCCTCGCGCAGTCCTGAGGAGATTTTTTCATGCCCTGTGACCTGTACTGGGCTGTCCCCAAACATGTCTGCTTTGGTGGCATAAATGTCAATGTGACCGTGCTCCCTCTTTTTCTTCAGCAGTCTAAAGAGTGATTCCTAAATGTGGCTAAAGATCAAATGCCAGACTCCAGCACTGCACTGTCATCAGACATAATGGGGGATTTCTACAACACATGCAG